GTCAACTGATTCCAACTAACAAATGAATTTTTAATCAAGTAATTTTACAAATTCTAGTTAAAAAAATTAGTCATACCAAGAACTTTGTAATTAAAAGAGGTATCTTCTTCCAATGCCTTCCCGTATTCATCTAGATAGAAAAGAAGCGTTGTTTGGTGCATATTTAATTCCTCAAATAGCCAAAAATCTACAGTCGGTATTTGTCTGTGGAGATAATATGAAAGCGTGAATTTAGTTCATTTATAAATAGATGACATTTCGAGCAGTACTAAATCTTTGTTTTCATCTGAATGTCATATGAAAGTGGAATATTAAGGTGCATCTCTCTCAACAGATATCATAGATGAATGTTGTCCATGGGATCGGTTTGAGTTAAAGAAAGAAAAATCATACATGGATCTGATTGCCTGAATGTGATTCATCATCAAACAGACTAGAATTGCAGTCAAATGTTTAACTCATCCTCAACGAATTCGTGAAGACTTTAGACAGCGTTTACAATAAAGCAAATCGTTCGCGTTACCTACACTTCTACGTGACACATACCTTGATGCATTTCATTCACCAGGCATATGAATTTGTCGCATGCGAAATACCTCTCAACATCGAGTTCATTGAATCAGTTCAGGTTATTACAGCGCTTTCAACTACAACCAATGGTATTCCAACGGTATTGTTCAGGTTTAAACCATTCAAAATATCGTTGGGAATGAGCATTTCAGTGATTCATTACAGGAAGGCAAAGAACGAATGACAGTAGTAATTTCATAGTGTAACTGTATAACAGTGGATTTATTTATTCAACCGACATTTGATGAAAATAAAGTAGAAATACACAATCAAAGTTTCCAAGTTATGTCAATGGACTTGAGATATGAATGAACTATAGACTACATTCAGAATGTTATTAATGATGCATGCTGTTTTATTGTAGCATGTATGTATTGAAGACTGTTATACTGAAGAGGACATTGTAGAGAATGTGAATGATGGAGGAAGTTGTATCACTACGGAATACGTCGTTACTAGTGATTGAATTGACGAAAAATTTTAAAATGCTTCATTAAACAGACTAGATTGCATTCGTATAGGTGAGCGATAACGGCTTCATTTCTTAGCCTTAGCAATTAAAAATAAATATGAATATAAATCTCCGATATCATATGTCGCACAAAATGATTTCAAGCTGACGTTCATTCCACAAACAGTAAGAAGACGGTTTTGTCTTCAGATACCAAAAACATTTTGTCACATATACTCTGTTTAATAATTCATGATGAAATAACCTACAGTCAGCAAGATTCACGAGCGACTTGTCTTCTGCACTGATTGCTGTAAAAGTGTAAATAATTTTGGAAAATTATTTATTTGCACTCGGAAGGATGGTAAGAAGAGGACAGTAAGAAAATGTGGAATGCATACTGAGGGTTTGTCAGGTGTGAAAAGTACAGCAAGGCAACTTGATTGATGAGTTACATAACTCATACGTCAGACTATATTATTTTTTTCATTGAAAAGACTATTCAAAGGTGAATCAGCGGACCAAATATGGTTACATTTCATGTTGAAATTCAGCATTTTATGCTATGCGTATTGGAAAGATGTGTACTGTAGTACTTTTCGAAATATGCATATGAAATTCATTCTTCATTCTCCTTAAAATTTTCCTGTCTGTCTGCTGACAGAATTTTCTCTCCTAGTAACACCTAGAGGTCACTCTCCGAAATACTAGTTTTGATGTATATTTGTGGAGTATTTGAATTCTTTGGTCATCTCCAATAACACTGCAATTCATTTCAAGTCGTAATCAAACATGTCTAACTTTAGTGAAAATTCACGTTTATATTCACCATGCATTCGGATTCAGGAACATCATTGAATCAAGAGTTTGGATGACAGAACTTACTTTCGAGAAATTCCTTCTCCCATTTTCTTTGATATAAGCGTTCAAGTCTCAGGATTTCTGTTTGATGTGAAAAAGACACGAAATTAGTGCATGATGTTATGTTGGCTGAAACAAGTTATTTGTTGAGAGAATTTTGACTAGTGTATGTTTCTTATTCCTCATTTGCGATTTTCAGGCAGTACGCCATGCATCAAAAGGCTAGCTACTGTTAGATTTACTGAAGAAGTAGGCATTCGAATATATGAGTTTTGACTGAAAGAACCAGAAGCTCTGTAAACCAATTTATACCCATCTTACGATTCATAAGCTCAAATGTCGTTCTACTCGTGCATCTGATACTTCGTTTTTTCATTTTGTAGTGATTCATTTTTAACTTCAGTGTTCAACATCAAACATGGGATTGTGTTTATTTTCACCCTTGAGTTTACTTTGACTGCATTTTCGTAATCATGCTCCATTATGAATCACCTCTTAATATTCTCTGAGTAAAATGATTTCTCTTTGCAGATGGTGGTAATACTTTAGTGTCTCATTTTCCTGCAACAAAGACAATCAATACTTTTAGCTCGTTTAGACGTTCGATTTGAAATGGGACCATCCACTCACTGACACACAACATCCACAACAATTCGGATTCCAGCGCTATCCTTCATCGATCGACGTTGACCAAAAGCAGAGGGAAAAATTCTGCAGATAACTGCAAGAAGTAAAGTGCATGACCCCAAATAGAAACATCAAAATGAGAAAATGGAAACAAACAAGACGGGATAGCGACTTTTCATATGTTTAGAGGTTGTGGGTGAAAACATGCGGACGGTGAACTTTTCGCGTAATACGATATCTTCAGCCAGTTGTTGACTGCGAAACACATACATAAAATGACACATGTTTCACAGGCTGGACACGCCAAATATCAGACAATCCTCATCTCCATCTTAGGAAACGGTTTATCTAGCATTCTGGACATAAAATTGAGAAGAAAATCAGACGCGGCATCTTGATGAGTGAAACAGAATATGTTTCAGGAAAGGGAGACCTAAGATAACTTCATCAGTGTACCAACACAACAACACAAATGAAACCATGGTGAAGGGATGTCAGCTAGAAAAGAGAAGAAACGATTTGAACTCTCAAACAGACCAACAACTGCAAATCTCCTAGAAATACCATCAACAGCAGGCACAGTACTCTCTGTGAATAGCAATCCTCCAACTAAGACAGACGTTTCAAATAACAAAATGTTACTATAATCTGGAAAGTTGATAGAATCAGATGGAATACCTATTGAAGCACTTCATAAGATATACTCACGCCAATGGTGCATGAGGTTACATGCTGATCAGAAGGAAAGGTGGCCTTGTCAAACTTGCAAAGAAGAGCGACTAAAGCTGTGCTTCTGCCGAGTAATAGCTTATATTATCGTGGGGAGACCGAATGATGCTATGAACGCAAAACTCCCCCAGCAACTCATGTACTAAACAAATTGCGAAGCCTCGCTTTATTATAGAAGAGAGCACAGGATTTTAACCTAATATCCACCTCAAACTCATCGACTTTGAAAACAGTTTAGACAGCATTTGAAACTACGAAATATGGAGCCTTGGATAATTACGTGAATATTTCAAGTGCAATTAGATTCACAACAGAAAGCTCAGTGAGGCTGATCGCCGATCATACTCTTGGTTATGGTCGACTGCATCGTGTAAGAGACCATGAGCAGCAGGAGGATGGTCAAAAGTTGGTGTAACAAGCAGAGTCAAAAAGGTTTGAACTAAGCCGGCGGTTTATGTCTAATATCACACAAACTCGAAGATCTGCAGGTGAAGACGAACACGTTGAGAGAAGAAGCACCCAGCGAAGACACGCCTTCAGATGAGCATAGAGAAAATAGAGGTGATGAGCTCACCTTACAGACCAGTCAGCAGCAACAGTAGAAATGTGAAGGGAGTCATTTCCTTTACTTATCCAGGCAGCATCGTTTAAATCACACGTGACAGCAAGTGTAAGGAGGTTGCAGCTTGTTGAGATCAGAAAGGCAAGACAGAATTTGACAGCTTACAAATCAGTAGACCAGATTATTTCACTCAGCATAAGTTATGAGATCTGGATCTGCAACGCTGACGTCAAGCCAATGCTACTACGTGATTCAGAGGCTTATCGTGTTGACAAAGCATTTACAACAGACAGCTGCAAACCTTCGTCAATGTATGACTTCGATGCACCAGTACTGAAGGCAAGGAAGCCAAAACATTAGCAATATGGACATTTGGCGACAAACCAATAATGAACTCACTGACCAACAAATATGACAAGTGAAATGAAGGTAGATGGTACATGCGTTGAGGAAACCGCAGACTAATATCAAACGCCAGTTCATTGAGTGGAACGAGAAGGAGGTATAGTGGGGTTAAGGTTGTTATGGTGGTGACATGATAGAAATTATATGAGCCGAAAATAGAGGTTATAAGACAGTTGTGAAGCCAGTCACAAAGGACTTTAGAGAGGGCGATGGTATGGAGATGTGCAGTTGGTGTCCTATTTTCCACTCCGTACTCAGGAGAGTAACGATAATGACAATCTGAAAGACAGATTGAGAGAATCTAAGACAGCAGCAGACAACACCAACCCCAGACTTCTTTTCCAGTCGCAATCGCTCCCATCAGTATTCAATTCACACAGAGAATCTTCCACTACACCCACAAGTGAGTTCATTCATTTCAGAGATGTAATTCAAATCACCAAGCAGAAATGAGATTTCGCGCAGCAGTGACTGTAGGAAGGTAAGTGTGTCTCTGCAAAAGATTACATGCCACACACTCGACAGACGTTATTTCAAGCATCAGGATCAGTCACTGTTGTTCTAGTACAATGCACATACCAGGAGGTACATTCTATTTTCATCACATGGTGAAAAACAAACAAGGTACTTGGTCATTCTCAAAAAGTACATGAGTTCACCTTTGATTCATAAGCAAGTAATATCTGCAACATGCGTGAAATGCAAAATAATCTATTGATTGAAAAAAGACCTGACCATCTATTTCTGACTGACATTTATATGCAGCTAAGTAAAGATCTTAATGAAATTGCTCACCAGTTTTTATTGTTTCTTCCGCATTCTTGGGATCCCGGTATGTATGAAGCTCAATCATGAAAACTAAAACAAACAAATGGGTGTAAATAAGTGTAAAGTATGTGGATTATTCGTCCGTTGACTAAATATCCTGAAAGAATAATTATTGATGTCTAAGCAACATAAAATCAGATTTTCTGTCTTTGTGTAAACATTCATTCATGAAATGTCACTGCCATCTTTGCATTGCCGACACACCTTTAGGTAAATGTAAACATTTCTCTCACAATCCACTGGTAACCAGTGCCAAGTGATTAAGCATTTCAGTCTCATCGACACTACTGTCCAATTGCTATTCAACTCATCTCAGTCTGTAATATTCACATGGATGCAAAGTATTCTCCTGGAGATTATCACGTTTCCTGAAGTGGATAAAGCACTATCACTGACGCTGATGCACCGATTTCCTGCTCTACTCCACGATAACAATTTACAAGTTATTACAATTAGGTGACATTACATACATCTGCTGACATCAGAAATATGTCTCCCTGAATTTTGACGAAGAAGTGCAGTTGCAATGAAGATTTTTAAAAAGCTTCTCAGTATTATCAGTGATTGAGTTAGTCGATTAGCCGTATACGATTCAGGTCAAGCGACATGAGTAATAGGAGGAACTGAACACCGATCATTACAGAACAGTCTAAAGTAAACAGACAACCACGAAATAATTTTCGGTAATATAGGCACATACATTTATCATTCACAACTTCAAAGTATGAATCTACGTATGCGTCTAATGTTGAATTCGGATCATCTGAAATAGAGAGAAATATTTTGCTCGAGTTAATTAATTAAATCTTTATAATTTACTAAGTAAAACATACACGCACAAATTAACTCTCGTTTGATGAATTAGAATGTGGAATAATTGCTTCTTGCTGAAGACGTGATGTAAGAATTCAGATTGCTCGCGTATTCAACTATTTCTGAATTTCACAAACTAACAACAAAAATCTCCTTAATCAGAAGTTACACTCATCTTTCAATGCATTCAACGGCTATGAAGTAAAACTGCGTTTGCTCCTCCGATAATAATCATGACTATATTCGCTCTTCAACAATACAATGATGCTGTTCTGAGTTTCGGTGAAATTCGCTCCATGAATGAATGGCTTTTAGCATGCAGCGATGGTCACAATGTATGTTATAGTTCGATGGAAACTAAAGCTCCATATTTACTATGGACAATCAGCTGAATACATCATAAGGACTTTACAATGAATATTCACAAAATTGCAGAAAATCTACCACCAATGGCTTTTGAAGATTGTGGTTTATAACTGCCGATAATAGAGGGGTGGGCATGCGTCCCGAAATGTTGTAACATGTCGCTAGGATCGGAGACTCAACAACAGATAGAATAAAATCATGATGGAAAGTGTGCAGCAGATTGAAAATCTCATAGGCAGAAATGAAGCTTACGTTCCACTATACTTTTTAGGATCAAACATACAATTTTAAAGCATAAGGAGTTATTCCACAAAACCGTCTTTAATAGCTATTAGTAGTCTGTCAATAAAACGCCTACTGTATAAGAGAGAAGATCTCTGAAATAAACTTTGGAAAACTCTTACAGTGAGCAATAAACTTGTTAGCATCAACTAAAAATAAAATGGAAGACAATGGATCAAATGAGATTCAATGGTTGCTGTTAAGAAAAAGCACACCAATCAGAAACATCTGAAAGCTGAGCTGACTGAGTAAACAAGTTGGTTTAAAAAGCAAATCGCACAAGGATCAGCGTGAATTTTGATCATCAAATATGGTGTTTCGCAATACATCTAACTGTCTGTAATTCTTACTGTCCTGACCAATCAACTATATCCTGGATTCGCACAAAGCTCTCATGCATATTTTTTGTTGACTTTGTAACTATCAGTATGCCTTTCGTGGTAACGAAGGAAAATATAACTAAAGGAGACAATATATGCTTCAGATGTTACTTCATTGCGTGAAGCACTAATAAAAGGACTGAAATTCACTTTAACCAGAAGAAACCCACACTCAATCTCGTCAGCTCATGCGTCTCCAAGCGTACAATAATTACATGAATCATCGGAAAAACACCCAATTCCAATTCAAAGAATTCGCAGCCACTAAGTGATTACTAAACCTTAAATTGCAAATCAAATTGCTCATTCCTAATGAGAAATGAGTGTGCACACCATAAAACGACATAAACCTATCTTATGATGATAACTGACAAATTACAATTCTAAATAAAATTGACCCAGATCATGCGGAATATTTAAAAGCAGTGTGACGCTGGGCAAGTGAAATTATTTGAGAGCCCGCACCACCAGTGAAATTTATTGCGAGACTGGGCGGTAATCCTGAAGTGACTTCATTCATGGTAACAATGTTTGTTATAGTTCAGCAGAAATCGAAGCTTCATATTTACAATGGAAATCCAGTTGAATACATCAGAGAGTCTTTGCAACGATTATTCACATAAATACAGAAAATCTACCACCAGTTGATGTTGTAAGCTGAGGTCTATTGCAGTCGCAAGTAAAAGTTAAGGCGTACATCACAAAATGTTGTGACAGGTCACTGTGAACGAAAACTAAACAACAGATAGAATATATCACGCTGGGAAATGGACAGCAGATTGGATATCTGATAAGCGGAAATGAAGCCAACATTCCTCTGCACCAGTAGGGACCATAAATACTTTTTGTAAAGCAAAAATGAGATATTCCACAAAACCGTCTTCAACAGCTTTTAATTGTAGTCTGTCAGTAAAACGCCTACTGCATGGAAGAGAAGATAACTTTAACTGTATGCATATTCTATGCAACAGCTGTAACGCCATTGAGTGAAGTATTATTCAAAGCAATGGTATTTCCTTGAAACAAAAGAAAACAACAATCAGTTTTGTCATCTGACGCGTCTCCATGCGTACAATAATTACAAACACCGTCAGAAAAAACTGAATTCTGCTTTGACGAATTAACCACAAAAAAGATGAAACTGCTTTTTAAATAGTGAATCGAATCACACATTCTCAATAAGATATGAAATTTCACATCATACAAAGAGGTACACGTGTCTAATGATGATAAATAACAACATACAAATCCAGAAAAGATCCACTTACTGTGGATTTATGGAAAATTATCTCATTTGAAAATAATTAGAATAACGCAGTAATTTAAATCAAGACAGGTCGTAAAAGAAAAGAAAATTGTAGAAAAAGTGGAAGCAAAGTGGTGAATTGCTCCGGCTTCAGTGTGTCTCCACCAGGATTTTTCATTTGAATTCAGCAATTTTGCTGTGTATGCCTAAATTTGAGTTGGCTGTCGTCGCTAGTTAGTTGATCATTTGGTTATTTAGATATTTGTTGTGTGCTGTTGGTCTGTGGGATTCTGAATTAATTTCTGTTGAAAGCCGAGACAAGTGGATGAGTATTCATGCATGCTGCTTGACAGATTATGAAGTCTGGGATGGTGGATTGAAAGAAGAGGCGAGTGCGAGTGTTACTTGCATACTGAACTCACTCACCTGGTATTTCTGAATCGAATCGAGCCACGCTAGTCAGATGTTCATCACTGCCGAACCGCTGTGTGACTTCCGAATTGTATTTGACAAGTCCAATATATGTGGAGAAAAAGGCAGAATATATGGAAATAGTAAAAACACAAAAGAGCAACAAACAGAGGTAGCGAGGAATATTACGTTGACAGTGACGAAGATATCGTGCAATGAATGAATTTCAACTGAGTGTTATTGCTAGCTAGTCAGTTAGTTGGTTAGTTGGTTGATCGGTTATGTGATTGATCTGTTGTGAGATAAATTGGTTATTTAGCGGGCTTGATATTTGCTTTTGCGTTGTTCGTTTGTTCGTGTGTAGGCTGTTGTGTTTGTTTGTTTGTGTGATAGGCCGAGTGAAGTGGATGTTGGTTGATGCATACTGCTGGATGGATTATGAAGGCTGAGTTGGTGGATTGATGGGAGTGGAGAGGGCGAGTGTTGGGTGAAAAATGAACTCACTCACCTGGTGTTTCTGACAGGAATTGAGGCGTGGTAGTCAACTGTTGATCAGTGCCAGCTGACGCAGTGCTTTCTGACTGATTTGCGACTGGTTGTGTTCCTGCGGAGAAAGAGGGAGAGGGAGTGGGTGTAGTGAGAGAGATACAGAGAGGTGGAGGAGAATATCTTGATGTGAATGATGCACAATTGGTGGAAGGGGTTAGCGACATTATCAACTCTGAATGATCAGAGATGCCGACCGGTGATTTTCGAGGAATGTTTTGTGTTGTGCTGTGTTGTGTTGTGTTGTCTCGTATCGCCTTGTGTAAATGTATGTGAGAGAGCGTTTTGAGGTTTGTTGTGTTGTTTTGTGTACTGTTGGGTTGTTGCGTGTTGTGTGGCCCTGCGTTGTGATGTGGTGTATTGTGTACGAATGAGTGTGTCTCTGTGTGCATTTTGCATTTGAATGAGGAAATTTTGCTATGTTCGCGCGAATTTCAATTAGATATGATTGCCAGTTAGTCAGTTAGTTGGTTAGTTGGTTGGTCGATTATGTGATTGATCTGTTGTGAGATAAATTGGTTATTTAGCGGGCTTGATATTTGCTTTTGCGTTGTTCGTTTGTTCGTGTGTAGGCTGTTGTGTTTGTTTGTTTGTGTGATAGGCCGAGTGAAGTGGATGTTGGTTGATGCATACTGCTGGATGGATTATGAAGGCTGAGTTGGTGGATTGATGGGAGTGGAGAGGGCGAGTGTTGGGTGAAAAATGAACTCACTCACCTGGTGTTTCTGACAGGAATTGAGGCGTGGTAGTCAACTGTTGATCAGTGCCAGCTGACGCAGTGCTTTCTGACTGATTTGCGACTGGTTGTGTTTCTGTGGAGATAGAGGGAGAGGGAGTGGGTGTAGTGAGAGAGATACAGAGAGGTGGAGGAGAATGTTTTGATGTGAATGATGCACAACTGGTGTAAGGGGTTAGCGACATTATCAGCTTTGAATGATCAGTGATGCCGACCGGTGATTTTCGAGGACTGTTTTGTTGTGTTGTGTTGTGTTGTGTTGTCTCGTATTGCCGTGTGTATATGTATGTGAGAGAGCGTTTTGAGGTTTGTTGTGTTGTTTTGTGTACTGTTGGGTTGTTGCGTGTTGTGTGGCCCTGCGTTGTGATGTGGTGTATTGTGTCGGTATGAGTGTGTCTCTGTGAGCATTTCACATTGGAATTCAGCAATTTCGCTGTGTTTCCGTGAATTTCAATTGGTTATCATTGCCAGTTAGTCAGTTAGTTCGTGAGTTAGTTGGTTGTTTGGTTAGTTGGTTGATTGTTTGTTTGTTTGGTTGGTTGTTTGATATGTTGGTTAGTTGGCTAGCTTGATATTTGCTTTTGCGTTGTTCGTTTGTTCGTGTGTAGGCTGTTGTGTTTGTTTGTTTGTGTGATAGGCCGAGTGAAGTGGATGTTGGTTGATGCATACTGCTGGATGGATTATGAAGGCTGAGTTGGTGGATTGATGGGAGTGGAGAGGGCGAGTGTTGGGTGAAAAATGAACTCACTCACCTGGTGTTTCTGACAGGAATTGAGGCGTGGTAGTCAACTGTTGATCAGTGCCAGCTGACGCAGTGCTTTCTGACTGATTTGCGACTGGTTGTGTTCCTGCGGAGAAAGAGGGAGAGGGAGTGGGTGTAGTGAGAGAGATACAGAGAGGTGGAGGAGAATGTTTTGATGTGAATGATGCACAATTGGTGGAAGGGGTTAGCGACATTATCAACTCTGAATAATCAGTGATGTCGACTGGTGATTTTCTAGTAACTTTTTGTGTTGTGCTGTGTTGTGTTGTGTTGTGTTGTCTCGTATTGCCGTGTGTATATGTATGTGAGAGAGCGTTTTGAGGTTTGTTGTGTTGTTTTGTGTACTGTTGGGTTGTTGCGTGTTGTGTGGCCCTGCGTTGTGATGTGGTGTATTGTGTCGGTATGAGTGTGTCTCTGTGAGCATTTCACATTGGAATTCAGCAATTTCGCTGTGTTTCCGTGAATTTCAATTGGTTATCATTGCCAGTTAGTCAGTTAGTTCGTGAGTTAGTTGGTTGTTTGGTTAGTTGGTTGATTGTTTGTTTGTTTGGTTGGTTGTTTGATATGTTGGTTAGTTGGCTAGCTTGATATTTGCTTTTGCGTTGTTCGTTTGTTCGTGTGTAGGCTGTTGTGTTTGTTTGTTTGTGTGATAGGCCGAGTGAAGTGGATGTTGGTTGATGCATACTGCTGGATGGATTATGAAGGCTGAGTTGGTGGATTGATGGGAGTGGAGAGGGCGAGTGTTGGGTGAAAAATGAACTCACTCACCTGGTGTTTCTGACAGGAATTGAGGCGTGGTAGTCAACTGTTGATCAGTGCCAGCTGACGCAGTGCTTTCTGACTGATTTGCGACTGGTTGTGTTCCTGCGGAGAAAGAGGGAGAGGGAGTGGGTGTAGTGAGAGAGATACAGAGAGGTGGAGGAGAATATCTTGATGTGAATGATGCACAATTGGTGGAAGGGGTTAGCGACATTATCAACTCTGAATGATCAGAGATGCCGACCGGTGATTTTCGAGGAATGTTTTGTGTTGTGCTGTGTTGTGTTGTGTTGTCTCGTATCGCCTTGTGTAAATGTATGTGAGAGAGCGTTTTGAGGTTTGTTGTGTTGTTTTGTGTACTGTTGGGTTGTTGCGTGTTGTGTGGCCCTGCGTTGTGATGTGGTGTATTGTGTACGAATGAGTGTGTCTCTGTGTGCATTTTGCATTTGAATGAGGAAATTTTGCTATGTTCGCGCGAATTTCAATTAGATATGATTGCCAGTTAGTCAGTTAGTTGGTTAGTTGGTTGGTCGATTATGTGATTGATCTGTTGTGAGATAAATTGGTTATTTAGCGGGCTTGATATTTGCTTTTGCGTTGTTCGTTTGTTCGTGTGTAGGCTGTTGTGTTTGTTTGTTTGTGTGATAGGCCGAGTGAAGTGGATGTTGGTTGATGCATACTGCTGGATGGATTATGAAGGCTGAGTTGGTGGATTGATGGGAGTGGAGAGGGCGAGTGTTGGGTGAGAAATGAACTCACTCACCTGGTGTTTCTGACAGGAATTGAGGCGTGGTAGTCAACTGTTGATCAGTGCCAGCTGACGCAGTGCTTTCTGACTGATTTGCGACTGGTTGTGTTTCTGTGGAGAAAGAGGGAGAGGGAGTGGGTGTAGTGAGAGAGATACAGAGAGGTGGAGGAGAATGTTTTGATGTGAATGATGCACAATTGGTGTAAGGGGTTAGCGACATTATCAACTTTGAATGATCAGTGATGCCGACTGGTGATTTTCGAGGACTGTTTTGTGTTGTGTTGTGTTGTGTTGTCTCGTATTGCCGTGTGTAAATGTATGTGAGATAGCGTTTTGAGGTTTGTTGTGTTGTTTTGTGTACTGTTGGGTTGTTGCGTGTTGTGTGGCCCTGCGTTGTGATGTGGTGTATTGTGTCGGTATGAGTGTGTCTCTGTGAGCATTTCACATTGGAATTCAGCAATTTCGCTGTGTTTCCGTGAATTTCAATTGGATATCATTGCCAGTTAGTCAGTTAGTTCGTGAGTTAGTTGGTTGTTTGGTTAGTTGGTTGATTGTTTGTTTGTTTGGTTGGTTGTTTGATATGTTGGTTAGTTGGCTAGCTTGATATTTGCTTTTGCGTTGTTCGTTTGTTCGTGTGTAGGCTGTTGTGTTTGTTTGTTTGTGTGATAGGCCGAGTGAAGTGGATGTTGGTTGATGCATACTGCTGGATGGATTATGAAGGCTGAGTTGGTGGATTGATGGGAGTGGAGAGGGCGAGTGTTGGGTGAGAAATGAACTCACTCACCTGGTGTTTCTGACAGGAATTGAGGCGTGGTAGTCAACTGTTGATCAGTGCCAGCTGACGCAGTGCTTTCTGACTGATTTGCGACTGGTTGTGTTTCTGTGGAGAAAGAGGGAGAGGGAGTGGGTGTAGTGAGAGAGATACAGAGAGGTGGAGGAGAATGTTTTGATGTGAATGATGCACAATTGGTGTAAGGGGTTAGCGACATTATCAGCTTTGAATGATCAGTGATGTCGACTGGTGATTTTCGAGGAATGTTTTGTGTTGTGTTGTGTTGTGTTGTCTCGTATTGCCGTGTGTAAATGTATGTGAGATAGCGTTTTGAGGTTTGTTGTGTTGTTTTGTGTACTGTTGGGTTGTTGCGTGTTGTGTGGCCCTGCGTTGTGATGTGGTGTATTGTGTCGGTATGAGTGTGTCTCTGTGAGCATTTCACATTGGAATTCAGCAATTTCGCTGTGTTTCCGTGAATTTCAATTGGATATCATTGCCAGTTAGTCAGTTAGTTCGTGAGTTAGTTGGTTGTTTGGTTAGTTGGTTGATTGTTTGTTTGTTTGGTTGGTTGTTTGATATGTTGGTTAGTTGGCTAGCTTGATATTTGCTTTTGCGTTGTTCGTTTGTTCGTGTGTAGGCTGTTGTGTTTGTTTGTTTGTGTGATAGGCCGAGTGAAGTGGATGTTGGTTGATGCATACTGCTGGATGGATTATGAAGGCTGAGTTGGTGGATTGATGGGAGTGGAGAGGGCGAGTGTTGGGTGAAAAATGAACTCACTCACCTGGTGTTTCTGACAGGAATTGAGGCGTGGTAGTCAACTGTTGATCAGTGCCAGCTGACGCAGTGCTTTCTGACTGATTTGCGACTGGTTGTGTTCCTGCGGAGAAAGAGGGAGAGGGAGTGGGTGTAGTGAGAGAGATACAGAGAGGTGGAGGAGAATGTTTTGATGTGAATGATGCACAACTGGTGTAAGGGGTTAGCGACATTATCAACTCTGAATAATCAGTGATGTCGACTGGTGATTTTCTAGTAACTTTTTGTGTTGTGCTGTGTTGTGTTGTGTTGTGTTGTCTCGTATTGCCGTGTGTATATGTATGTGAGAGAGCGTTTTGAGGTTTGTTGTGTTGTTTTGTGTACTGTTGGGTTGTTGCGTGTTGTGTGGCCCTGCGTTGTGATGTGGTGTATTGTGTCGGTATGAGTGTGTCTCTGTGAGCATTTCACATTGGAATTCAGCAATTTCGCTGTGTTTCCGTGAATTTCAATTGGATATCATTGCCAGTTAGTCAGTTAGTTCGTGAGTTAGTTGGTTGTTTGGTTAGTTGGTTGATTGTTTGTTTGTTTGGTTGGTTGTTTGATATGTTGGTTAGTTGGCTAGCTTGATATTTGCTTTTGCGTTGTTCGTTTGTTCGTGTGTAGGCTGTTGTGTTTGTTTGTTTGTGTGATAGGCCGAGTGAAGTGGATGTTGGTTGATGCATACTGCTGGATGGATTATGAAGGCTGAGTTGGTGGATTGATGGGAGTGGAGAGGGCGAGTGTTGGGTGAAAAATGAACTCACTCACCTGGTGTTTCTGACAGGAATTGAGGCGTGGTAGTCAACTGTTGATCAGTGCCAGCTGACGCAGTGCTTTCTGACTGATTTGCGACTGGTTGTGTTCCTGCGGAGAAAGAGGGAGAGGGAGTGGGTGTAGTGAGAGAGATACAGAGAGGTGGAGGAGAATGTTTTGATGTGAATGATGCACAATTGGTGGAAGGGGTTAGCGACATTATCAACTCTGAATGATCAGTGATGTCGACTGGTGATTTTCTAGTAACTTTTTGTGTTGTGCTGTGTTGTGTTGTGTTGTGTTGTCTCGTATTGCCGTGTGTATATGTATGTGAGAGAGCGTTTTGAGGTTTGTTGTGTTGTTTTGTGTACTGTTGGGTTGTTGCGTGTTGTGTGGCCCTGCGTTGTGATGTGGTGTATTGTGTCGGTATGAGTGTGTCTCTGTGAGCATTTCACATTGGAATTCAGCAATTTCGCTGTGTTTCCGTGAATTTCAATTGGTTATCATTGCCAGTTAGTCAGTTAGTTCGTGAGTTAGTTGGTTGTTTGGTTAGTTGGTTGATTGTTTGTTTGTTTGGTTGGTTGTTTGATATGTTGGTTAGTTGGCTAGCTTGATATTTGCTTTTGCGTTGTTCGTTTGTTCGTGTGTAGGCTGTTGTGTTTGTTTGTTTGTGTGATAGGCCGAGTGAAGTGGATGTTGGTTGATGCATACTGCTGGATGGATTATGAAGGCTGAGTTGGTGGATTGATGGGAGTGGAGAGGGCGAGTGTTGGGTGAAAAATGAACTCACTCACCTGGTGTTTCTGACAGGAATTGAGGCGTGGTAGTCAACTGTTGATCAGTGCCAGCTGACGCAGTGCTTTCTGACTGATTTGCGACTGGTTGTGTTCCTGCGGAGAAAGAGGGAGAGGGAGTGGGTGTAGTGAGAGAGATACAGAGAGGTGGAGGAGAATGTTTTGATGTGAATGATGCACAACTGGTGTAAGGGGTTAGCGACATTATCAGCTTTGAATGATCAGAGATGCCGACCGGTGATTTTCGAGGAATGTTTTGTGTTGTGCTGTGTTGTGTTGTGTTGTGTTGTCTCGTATCGCCTTGTGTAAATGCATGTGAGAGAGCGTTTTGAGGTTTGTTGTGTTGTTTTGTGTACTGTTGGGTTGTTGCGTGTTGTGTGGCCCTGCGTTGTGATGTGGTGTATTGTGTCGGTATGAGTGTGTCTCTGTGAGCATTTCACATTGGAATTCAGCAATTTCGCTGTGTTTCCGTGAATTTCAATTGGTTATCATTGCCAGTTAGTCAGTTAGTTCGTGAGTTAGTTGGTTGTTTGGTTAGTTGGTTGATTGTTTGTTTGTTTGGTTGGTTGTTTGATATGTTGGTTAGTTGGCTAGCTTGATATTTGCTTTTGCGTTGTTCGTTTGTTCGTGTGTAGGCTGTTGTGTTTGTTTGTTTGTGTGATAGGCCGAGTGAAGTGGATGTTGGTTGATGCATACTGCTGGATGGATTATGAAGGCTGAGTTGGTGGATTGATGGGAGTGGAGAGGGCGAGTGTTGGGTGAAAAATGAACTCACTCACCTGGTGTTTCTGACAGGAATTGAGGCGTGGTAGTCAACTGTTGATCAGTGCCAGCTGACGCAGTGCTTTCTGACTGATTTGCGACTGGTTGTGTTCCTGCGGAGAAAGAGGGAGAGGGAGTGGGTGTAGTGAGAGAGATACAGAGAGGTGGAGGAGAATGTTTTGATGTGAATGATGCACAATTGGTGGAAGGGGTTAGCGACATTATCAACTCTGAATAATCAGTGATGTCGACTGGTGATTTTCTAGTAACTTTTTGTGTTGTGCTGTGTTGTGTTGTGTTGTGTTGTCTCGTATTGCCGTGTGTATATGTATGTGAGAGAGCGTTTTGAGGTTTGTTGTGTTGTTTTGTGTACTGTTGGGTTGTTGCGTGTTGTGTGGCCCTGCGTTGTGATGTGGTGTATTGTGTCGGTATGAGTGTGTCTCTGTGAGCATTTCACATTGGAATTCAGCAATTTCGCTGTGTTTCCGTGAATTTCAGTTGGTTATCATTGCTAGTTAGTCAGTTAGTTCGTGAGTTAGTTGGTTGTTTGGTTAGTTGGTTGATTGTTTGTTTGTTTGGTTGGTTGTTTGATATGTTGGTTAGTTGGCTAGCTTGATATTTGCTTTTGCGTTGTTCGTTTGTTCGTGTGTAGGCTGTTGTGTTTGTTTGTTTGTGTGATGGGCCGAGTGAAGTGGATGTTGGTTGATGCATACTGCTGGATGGATTATGAAGGCTGAGTTGGTGGATTGATAGGAGTGGAGAGGGCGAGTGTTGGGTGAAAAATGAACTCACTCACCTGGTGTTTCTGACAGGAATTGAGGCGTGGTAGTCAACTGTTGATCAGTGCCAGCTGACGCAGTGCTTTCTGACTGATTTGCGACTGGTTGTGTTTCTGTGGAGAAAGAGGGAGAGGGAGTGGGTGTAGTGAGAGAGATACAGAGAGGTGGAGGAGAATGTTTTGATGTGAATGATGCACAATTGGTGTAAGGGGTTAGCGACATTATCAACTCTGAATGATCAGTGATGTCGACTGGTGATTTTCTAGTAATGTTTTGTGTTTTGTTGTATCGTACCGGAAGGCAGAATATCTCATGCAGTTTCATGCACATTGACGATATAATGCACCCCTCAATCACTCACTCACTCACAGAAAACACAAACAACTTTGCTGCATACAGATGAAATCAATAAATCGACAATATCATCGACGTCAGAAATTGTCAGTGACTGAATCGGAGTGCTTTTCATTGATCGAGTGAATGATTTAGTGAGTGAGTGAAATCTGGGCATGGTGAAATGGTAATCGCACCAACGCTGTGAAGAATGCTGTGAATCAACAAAACAACAGAGACTCACCTCCGGTATCGTCATTGTCGCTGTCTTCTAAAGAATATAAACAGACATATTTGACAAATTGGATTAGCGGGGAAGTTCTTTCAGCAAATACAAATGAAATCATACTGCATATCAGCGTTCATTGAAATCCACTGCTCTTCACAACAAAAAGTCCACTCCCATATTCTCCACTGTAGTTCACCTAGTCGAATGAATCCCTGTGAATTGCGATCCATTTATCTGTCTGTTTATCTCACAAACTACATATATTTACATGTATCCAAATACAAATATATCCACCTATACATTGCACAATCCATGTGTGTATGCACATATGCTTCTATCTAACTATTTAACCAACTAAACATAAATCTAACAATCTATGTTTCTATTATCCATTCCATCTAATTCTGCATATAACTAACCATCAATCTATATAGCAATTTCTCTGTCTAATAATCTAGCTAGCTATCTATCTATTCCTATACCTATCTATTTACTGTCTGTCTATCTATCCTCCTTTCTATCTATCAAACTATATATCTATCTATGTATCTATCTATCTAACTTTCTATCAAGCAATCTATTTATCTCTATATCTTTCTATTTTATCTATACCTCACAATGTCTATCTGTTTATCTATCCTTCTATCTATACATCCAACTATTAATGTACCCATCTATCTACCTATCTATCTATCTCTCTGTCTATCTATCTAATTATCTATCTATCTGTCTATCTGCCTTTCTCTCTGTCTATCTATCTATCTGTCTGTCTATATATCTAACATGAGATCTATCTAACAATCTATCTATCTAACTATTTATCTATTTATCTATCTATCTATCTCTATTTCGAAATATCTTTCTATCTATCTATCTTTATTTCTATCAAGCTATCTATTCATCTCATAATCTTTCTATTTATCTATACATGAGTGCATCTCCCTATCTAACGTTTTATCTATTTAACAAATCATCAATGTACCTATCTATCTAGCTGCCTATCTATCCACCTATGTTACTATCTATCTATCAATTTTTCCATCTATCTATGTATCTTTATATCTCTCTGTCTATCTATCTATCTATCTATCCATCTATCTATCTGTTCCTTTTATCTATCTATCCAACTTTATATCCAACTATCTATCTCTCTATCTATGTATCTATCTAACTTTCTATTCATCTATCTATATTTCTATCTACCTGTCTATCTTACTATCTATCTATCTATTTATATATCTGCTTTTCTATCTACATATCTATCTTGCTATCTATCTTTCTATCTATCTATCCATCTATTAAGCTATCTGTCTTTCTATCTAACTAAATATCTATGTATCTATCAACCTATCTATCAATCTATCTATTTATGCATGTAACTATCCATCTATCATTCTTTCTACCTATGTATCTTTCTATGTAGCCATATATCTATACATCCATCTTTTCATGCCTTTATATATCCATCAATCCATCTATACGGCTATCTATTTGTCCACGGTATTATTCGTCGACTGAATTCGCATGTCTTTCTCAGTATCGGTACTGACTCACATGCAACACACGATCATTGATAAGCACGATTGTATGAAGATGAGGAGAGCAATGACGAGTAAGCCTTATTTCAATTCACACACAATTACTTACAAGGCGAGGTTAACTCATCATCACATTTCCTTCTCAACTCGCTAATAGATGAATGGATGGAAAAATTATGTGAAGAAATCTTGTTGTGGAGACAGGGTAGAGTGACGTTTGTGTATGAGATAAGATGAAAGGGAATTGAGTGAGTGTGGTGTTTTGCAGTGTTTAGTGGTGCGTATGCGTGTTTCGTGGATCGTGTGTGGTCGGAAGGCAGAATTTCTCATGCAGTTTCATGCACATTGACGATATACTGCACCCCTCAATCACTCACTCACTCACAGAAAACACAAACAACTTTGCTGCATACAGATGAAATCAATCAATCGACAATATCATCGACGTCAGAAATTGTCAGTGACTGAATCGGAATGCCTCTCATTGATCGAGTGAATGACATAGTGAGTGAGTGAAATCTGAGCATGGTGAAATTGTAATAGCAATAATGCTGTGAAGAATGCTGTGAATCAACAAAACAACAGAGACTCACCTCCGTTATCGGCATTGTCGCTGTCTTCTAAAGAATATAAACAGACATATTTGACAAATTGGATTAGCGGGGAAGTTCTTTCAGCAAATACAAATGAAATCATACTGCATATCAGCGTTCATTGAAATCCACTGCTCTTCACAACAAAAAGTCCACTCCCATATTCTCCACTGTAGTTCACCTAGTCGAATGAATCCCTGTGAATTGCGATCCATTTATCTGTCTGTTTATCTCACAAACTACATATATTTACATGTATCCAAATACAAATATATCCACCTATACATTGCACAATCCATGTGTGTATGCAAATATGCTTCTATCTAACTATTTAACCAACTAAACATAAATCTAACAATCTATGTTTCTATTATCCATTCCATCTAATTCTGCATATAACTAACCATCAATCTATATAGCAATTTCTCTGTCTAATAATCTAGCTAGCTATCTATCTATTCCTATACCTATCTATTTACTGTCTGTCTATCTATCCTCCTATCTAAATTTCGATCTATCTATCAAACTATCTATCTATCTATCTATCTATCTATCTATCTATCTATCTATCTATCTATCTATATATCTGTCTATCTATCTATCTTTCGATCTATCTAACCATCTATCTATCTATCTATCTATCTATCTATCTATCTATCTATTTATCTATCTATCTGTCTATCTTTGGAAATATCTTTCTATCTATCTAGCTATTTTCTAGCAAGCTTTCTATTTTTATCTATATCTTTCTATTTATATTTACATCAGTGTATCTCTCTATCTATCCATCTATCTATTTATCAAACTATCTATGTTGCTATCAATCTTCCTATCTATCTATCTTCCTATGTATCTATTTATCTACCCATTTATCTATCTATCTTTCTATTTCTCTGTCTGTCTATCTATCTATCTGTTTTTTATCTATCCATCTATCTTTATATCCATCTATCTATCTATCTTCTCTATGTATCTATCTATCTTTCTATCTATCTATCTATATTTCTATCTACCTATCTATCTTACTATCTATCTATCTCTCTATTTATCTATGTATCTATCTATCTATCTATCTTTCTATCTATTTATCTTTCTATGTATCTTTATATCTATACATCCATCTTTTCATGCCTTTATATATCCATCAATCCATCTATACGGCTATCTATTTGTCCACGGTATTATTCGTCGACTGAATTCGCATGTCTTTCTCAGTATCGGTACTGACTCACATGCAACACACGATCATTGATAAGCACGATTGTATGAAGATGAGGAGAGCAATGACGAGTGAGCCTTATTTCAATTCACACACAATTACTTACAAGGCGAGGTTAACTCATCATCACATTTCCTTCTCAACTCGCTAATAGATGAATGGATGGAAAAATTATGTGAAGAAATCTTGTTGTGGAGACAGGGTAGAGTGACGTTTGTGTATGAGATAAGATGAAAGGGAATTGAGTGAGTGTGGTGTTTTGCAGTGTTTAGTGGTGCGTATGCGTGTTTCGTGGATCGTGTGTGGTCGGAAGGCAGAATTTCTCATGCAGTTTCATGCAAATTGACGATATACTGCACCCCTCAATCACTCACTCACTCACAGGAAACACAAACAACTTTGCTGCATACAGATGAAATCAATCAATCGACGATATCATCGACGTCAGAAATTGTCAGTGACTGAATCGGAATGCCTCTCATTGATCGAGTGAATGATTTAGTGAGTGAGTGAAATCTGAGCATGGTGAAATTGTAATAGCAATAATGCTGTGTAGAATGCTCTGAATCAACACAATAAATTGTACTTACCTCCGATATAGTTACCGTCGCTGTCATCTGGAATATGAAGCATACATATTTGATAAGCTTGTTTTCGCTTGGAGGTGCTTTGAGCAATTACATATGGAATCATAATGCTTATCAGCCTTCATTGTGATTCACTTCACTAGATCCAACCAACAATTCCACTCACGAAATCTCTACTGTAGTTCACATATGAATATTGCTCTCATTCCATCGATACATCTATCTATTTTACGCCGATGTATATATATATCCATCATTTCATATATACGGCTATCTACTTGTCCACGGTATTATTCGTCGACTGAATTCGCATGTCTTTCTCACTATTGGTACTGACTCACATGCAACACACGATCATCGATAAGCACGATTGTATGAAGATGAGGAGAGCAATGACGAGTGAGCCTTATTTCAATTCACACACAATTACTTACAAGGCGAGGTCAACTCACCATCACATTTGCTTCCCAACTGGCTTATAGGTGAATGGATGGAAAATGTTGTGAGGAAATATTGTTGTGTAGACGGGCTACACTCTTTATTACTTTGTTGGTCATTTTGTTTTATTTTCTTAATTATTTCTACCCTTTTTTTGGTTTTTAATTTCTCTTTTTTGTGTTTTCCTTCGTTTGAATGGATATTTTATCCGTATTGAGTACATTGTTTTCATTTTTTTATCTTGAGCTACTTCAATCTATTACTATTTTGTAAATTCTGAAATTTTTATCTTTTGTGAATTTCATTGCTGCTAGCTGTTTGCTCCTGTTTTATGGTTATATTTGCGTTACTGAGCTCGTTTTTAAATTCTGTCATACACCTTCCGCTTTGTTAATCTGAACTTTGCCTTTGAACTTCTCTCACCTATCGTTTCTCATGACTTATAAACTATAGTTTCTTTATTTTTCAGCCACATATCTCTCAATCTTTGCAGAGTATTCAGTTGAGTGGGGATCCTACAGAAATATGATTTATTCGGTAAATTCTGCTCCTTTGCCTCTTTCCATACACATCAAAAAATAGACGCTCCCAGAAAATTACAGTTGCAAATAACAGTGAATCAGCATAAAGAGTAACACACTGCACATACTGAAGGGAAGATTGTGGTCAAAACTGGCCATTTTTATTCTGGCTACACCTGTATAAATTTTACTAACCAAGAAATCTTTTACCTCTCGAGAGTTGAAAAGCTAACTAAACTCATATTTTGTTGACTTACTTGAATTTTAATGAAATAATTTAATGAATGAGGTGTGCTCAAATGGTGTACATGGAAACAAAATAATATACAGAATTACACAAGGGTTTTAAGTTAGAAAAATAAGCATACAAACAGAAGTAAGGTCAAATCAAACAAACAAAGAAGAGTTCGGTCAAATCAACGAAGTTGTTACCATGCGAGTAGAAGTGGTTGGATAATTTTCTTTTGTATGCATAGTTCTGCTTCCACCAACTGGATGGCTAGGGCTTCTGCAATGCAAAGAAGACGAAATCTTACTGTCTATGGGAGGTTGTTCTTCACTTTGTAGACCACTTTGAAGGAGGCGTTCGTTGAGATGGAATGACCGGTGTTGACGAGATGTTCGATTATTGCACTCCTTATATGGCCATTATTTCCTTTCTGTAGTTAATCACTCATGAAGTGTACGATCAGCTCCGACCGACAGGGTCAACAATACCAAGACTATATGGCTTACCAATGATACATAAAGCCAACCTCCCACTTCGTCCAATTCTGGATATGTCAGGTTCCCCGTACCATTCAATACCGAAATGGCTCACTTACATTTTAGAACCTGTACGAAAACGAATGTGCCACTATTCACTTCGTGACACTTTCCAATTCGTCAATTACATTAAAGATAAACCGACTTGGAACGGACAACTAGCAAGTTTCTACAGCTGGGTACCAATCAGTCGGAAAAGAAACCTGATTAAATCCCTTGCCACTCGCGTCAGACGCATCTGCAGCTCCGACACCATGGAAGAAGAACTAAACTTCCTGAGGGAAATCTTCATACAAAATGGCTACCCACCAAGATTTGTAGACAAAAACATCAAACAGAAAAACCAAAAGCAAGAGACACCATCCGTTCCAAAAAAGATACTTTATATGAACCTAGACTTCAAAGGAGACCTACTTAGTGACGTCCTCAGAAGGAGAATTTCCACCTCTTTAGGAAGAACTTTCCCTGCGGCAACACTGAGAATAGTGTTCTCCAGTCGCCCGCTGATCTGCAGAAACCCAAAGGACAAGATTCCTCACATGACCACTTCTATGTGTATATATCAGTTCACCTGTTGCTGTGGAGCCAGGTACATCGGTCGTTCAACGCGCATCCTGTCAAAAAGGGTCAAAGAACACCACCCAGCGTGGCTACAGAAAGGAAATAATGGCCATATAAGGAGTGCAATAATCGAACATCTCGTCAACACCGGTCATTCCATCTCAACGAACGCCTCCTTCAAAGTGGTCTACAAAGTGAAGAACAACCTCCCATAGACAGTAAGATTTCGTCTTCTTTGCATTGCAGAAGCCCTAGCCATCCAGTTGGTGGAAGCAGAACTATGCATACAAAAGAAAATTATCCAACCACTTCTACTCGCATGGTAACAACTTCGTTGATTTGACCGAACTCTTCTTTGTTTGTTTGATTTGACCTTACTTCTGTTTGTATGCTTATTTTTCTAACTTAAAACCCTTGTGTAATTCTGTATATTATTTTGTTTCCATGTACACCATTTGAGCACACCTCATTCATCAAAATTAATTTAATTACAGGAAATCCCATATTTCTTTAAATGTCTCACAATTTTCAGTGAATTCGTTTTATATTCAATGTTCTCTTTTGTATTGTAAATAGAGATGATTTTGGTAGTTCTTTTGAACACAAAATGTTTATCTAAGTATTTAGATAATCCGGTCGAATATACTTTACTTCACTGTATTTGAATTATTCATGAGAAAAAAACGATCACGTCACATACGCATTTCAAGAAATCCAAGGAATTTATTTACATTAAATTTCTACGCTTAAGTGAAATATTCAGATTTCAGGTCTGATCCTAGTGTTTTCTATTAATTTCAGTTTAGAAAGAACATTAGTTTAGAGCATTATTAAAAAGCATCTACTTCTTCGCAGTCTGAGACTCTTCAACAATATTCATCTGTGACTTCGCTAGAGATCTAACCTTTCAGATTATGAAACTGGTGCGTTGATTATTCATTCATTGACTTGGAATCCACCAACCTCGGCATTCTAGTTTCAACCAATCTTCTTATAAATTCTTACTATCAAACAACGGCTTCACAGTGATTCGGACTACAACGAAGCAACCCTTCAGCTGGTCAATGGTTCTCTGTCTAAGTTCCATTCATAACGATATCTACATTGAAATTCACATGTTAGTAGTTAAAGTGATACATAACTAACTATTGTAAATTGACACTTGATAAAATTGTGATCTTAAAAATCAAACCATCAAAAGTAAAAGGATAATATTTTGACACCTTATAAAAATGGATTAATAATCAACTCACATTCAATAGTTGCATTGTTATTAGATAATAGGAGTAGCAGGCAGCATAATATCGTTTGTAGTATATTTTTCATGATTCAAAATCTCTCGTCAGTGTATGTTGTCAGTGTTATATACTGCAAAATAATATTGTGCCAAAATCTCTCACAAATAGCCTTTTTATAGTTATACACGAATGCATACTAAGTATGTATGTGGTGTACATATGTGTATCTCAATTTTGTGTTCACCTATCTAAAGATGCAGTTATATTTAGCAATTAACAAAGCATAATAGCTAGCAAATAAAATCAATATGTAGTACATTGGTTACAGAAAAAACAACAGTATACTGATTCACGGTCTTTGTTGCTGTGTATGGCCACCCTCAATGTAAAGGCAAATCAACCAATCCTTTCTCATAAAATAGACTGATGCCTATTGAGTGGATTTAAAATAAGGTAGATTTTTCAAGAATAAGTTTGCATGGAGTAACTTGATTTGCTTCAAGTTTAACCATGGATAGATTACGGTTACAGGACCATTGAAAAACCCCAGGGAGTACTGGACATCTATTTCCTCTCCTCAGACTGGGACTCATTGGTATTACTCACACATTCAATTTCAGAACCAGGATCTTCAGGTTACATAGCAAGCTTACAGATCGTTCAGCCACGAAGACACGACTCAATGACCGCTGCATGAATTATAACTTAAACTTATTCTTGATTTTAGCACAATTTCGGTGAATACGTACCGTTGATAATAATACTTTGATAAAGCTATTAGCATTGAATAGCGAAACATCAGTAAAAACAATATCGTTTTGTTTTTCACTCATTGGGAAATACAAAAACCTTTATTATTACGTACCGTTGATGTTGGTTATCAGTGCTTCCCTGACAGGTATTTATCTTTGTTGAAACATGGAACAAATCAATTTCTTATAAACTAAATCTTGTAAATTATTCTGATTCTCACTAGTGATAACTCCTGACCGGTGGAGTCCACTCACTCGAGAGTGAGGACAAACTCTCGTTGTGTATAAAACTGGCTGGTACCAGTTCCGTTAAAATCACCAATCCGTAGGGTTTAGAATTCGTATGTTCATGTTGAGTCGGGTCTCAATAGCTGAATGGTCTCGAAGTTTATCTTACAATCGAAAGGTCCTGCACTCAAACACGATTGGTGACGTATTTCCGATGAGTCTCAAACAACGCTGACGTAACAATAAATCAATATACGCATAAAATAATCATATATATATTAATGAACACCTTGTTTCGAACAATAATGATCATACACAATGTTAACTTTCGGCATCACATAATCAAACGAACTCTAAGATGAAAATATTCAGTTTCCAGGACAAGGAAAGACTGATAACTGCTTCTTTCTAAACACATAAATTGGGTTTCAGGCGCTCGGTGGAGATTGCTTTGGTAAACTTAAAAGGATAATTGAACTTTTTTAGCCAATGATTATTTTGAATGGTCTTGCGAATCCCACCACATGAACCGGGGTCAAGGAGATGCCTGGCTGCAGGACTCTTTAAAGCATTTGTTCGTTTTAGACAGGATCTTTGGTACGTGTTCAGAAGATCGGAGGTTTGAGCTTCTTCCTACTTCTCAAATGTTACTGTTCTTACACATACACGTTAATTTGTTAACATGAGAAAGATATCTGTCGATTTTTGATTGTTCCAAGAGCCAATTTGTTCAATAGATGAGAAGCAGCTTGGTTGCGGGAAAGTCTTTGTCTGGTGACATCCTCAATCTTCTGTTGACAGTTACTGTTATATTTTCACATTCAAAGTCAAGTTGAATGTAGGTGTGCTTTTTGCCTCACTGTGATTTGCTTGACATTTGAGAATTGGGACATTCCTTACTTGTTAATGAACCTTTGAGTGTAACTATCGCTTTCCAACATATCTTCGAGAAACATATATTCTTCTTCTAATCTCTCTGTAGAGCATAATCTCCTACCTCCACAGTATTAAGTCATGACTAGTGCTCATTTAAAGCTGTTTGGATGAAAACAATTAAAATGTGGGTATTATCTTTTCCATGTAGGCTGCTAATGTGTACCATGGATGTGAATCTCAGGTTTCACAATTTGTCTTGTATGCATTTTCTCTCCTTCTGTTTCTCCAATTTCCAATTGAGACTTTCGATATTTCCGGTATCGTTAGTATTATTGTTTCCTTTTATTCCTAGAGGTACATAAGGCATCAGCCGTGCGTCTCCATTGCGTTCTGTTCTCTGCTAGAATCTTCACCTGGCTCCAAGTCTGCCCACACGTTTTCATCTCCTTTTCACATGACCTCCTCCAAGTCACCCTTGCACTGACGATCAACTCGCCGCTTCCCTTTCGGGTTCCACTCGAGAAATGGCTTGTCTAGTGATGTCACTCATTTGATGGTTTCCTCAAAGTATGGCCAATCCATCTCCATTTCTTCCTGCCTATTTGTTTCAAAATTGGTTCCTGGTTGGTTCGCTCATTGCCAGAGATCTTTGTTGATGATCTTTTCTCGCCATCTGATCTTGAGTATTGAGCGAAGACAACTGTTAATGAAGGTCTGTAGTTTGTTTGAGATGCTTTTTATGACACGCCCAGTCTCTGATCCATAAAGTAGCACTGACTTCACATTGGAGTTGAAAATCCGGATCTTGCTTTTGATGCTGAGAGCTGTTGACCTCTGCACAGATTTGAGAGTAGTGAAAGCTTCTCTTGCTTTTGATATCCTCGTCAGTTCCGTTGGCCTGTAGTTGAAACGATGCTTCCCAGTTAGATAAAGGAGGTTGTTTCTTTCCGGTTGCTGCAATTTATGCTGATCGCTGTCTGTTGTTGTTGTTCTTGCCCAGGAATCTTCATCACCTCTGTTTTCTCTATGTTCACCTGAAGTCACATCTTTGATGCTTCGTCTGCCAACTTGTTGCTTTTCGCTTGCATATCTTCCAGTTTGTGGGAAATCAGATATATATCATCGGCGAAGACCAGATCCTCCAAGTCTCTTTTTGTGTGAGTCCATTTTATGCCTGTTTCCTCATTGCCCGCTGTTTGTCACATTATTCAATCTACTGCAATCAGGAAAATCTTTGACGATAGTAGGCAGCCAGCTTGTCTTACTCCTGTCCTCACTTCGAAGGATTCCGTAAGTTTCCCGTTGTGGATTACTTGGCATGCAGCATTGTCGTACAGCTGTTAGATGAGATGTATAATTGTCGGTGGTACCCCGTTGTAGCGATGTAGTTGCCAAATCACCTCTCGATCGACGCTGTCGAAGGCCTTTTCAAAGTCTATGAAGTTGAGATTGAGAAGTGACTACCATTCCAAGCTTTGTTCACTGATGATCCGTTACGTGGCGACTTGATCAATACATGACTTGTTTCTCCTGAACCCAGCCTGTTTCGGTCAAAGTTTATCATCCAGGGCATGTTTGATTCTCTCCAGGATGATACGGCTTAATATTTTGCTTGGGATGGACAGGAGCATAATTCCGCGCCAGTTCTTGCATTGACTTTAGTCTCCTTTCTTTGGTAGCTTGAATAAGTATCCTTTCTTCCAATTCTCAGGTACTTTGCCTTGTTTCGACACCTTCTCCAGTAGTGGCGTCATCAAGTCCGCTGTTGTCTCTGGGCCCATTTTCAATGCTTCTGCGGGGATGCCATCAGACTGAACGTGTGTGGAGTTATATCGATAAACAAAGCTTCCTTAGACAAACTAAATGACTTTTTATTACTACATCACTGTGTGATATTTTAAATAAAATTATATCATATGCAATTACAGACAACAAAGTGTCATGTTTTCTAATAACATTAAGGAATCATAGGTCTGTGGAAAATAGGTGGCCTACAGAACACAATCTCAGGTGGCTGGAAGGAGAAATATACTCACCTGATTCAAATGAACTTCCAAAGAGAAACCTAGCAAAATAAATCAACAAGCATATCCTAGAGGCCGGTCATAAATTTGTTTTCAGTAATGCTTCTAAACCAGTCTATCAAAGACGATTGAGCGCTTACTTAAATTCATTGAAACCATAGTCTTAAATGTTTGAGTGTGCGTGCGATTCCGTTAGATGACGAAGATTTCTTCGCGTAGGTCTCAGACGGTCTCTACGCAAAGACATATAAAATGTTAGAGGATGTATGCTAAACTTAATATGTTCGTTAAAATGGTCGCTCCTAGCACAGCGTCAAGCAATCGAACACGTCAACTTCACCAAATCATGTACTGCTTAAACAGCGGTATTCTGCGACAGCATATACGACGGAGAGTATCCATCTAAGATTAGCAGATGCTATTTGGATTGTCTGTGAAAGCAAATCAAAAGCGGAATACTTATGAGTAGCAGTAAATTCATGACATCGTGATCTTAACTGCAAAACAAAACACGTGGAATATAATAACAATCCGATATAAGCAGAAATTCGACCTGGCAGTACATTGGTATATAAAATGAAGTCCTTAGTGGATATTTTATCTCTGAACACAATTAGTTCATCAACGAATATTCTGAAGAAATAAGCCCTGGTAAAATTATCCAGATATAATCAAAAGTAGCTGTATACATCAATGTGCCCTAGAAATCAGATGATGCGCAAGATAGGGTCCAACGAAGGCTTGAAGAAGCCCTCAGGAGAACCTACAATGCCACATAACTCGCGTTCATCACCATCACCAAATGGGTGCTGCTGCAATCAAAGAGCCCATGATCGCCAATCCTCGATACTACAAGTTGCGTTTATCACTTTTAGCGTGTTTGTTTTAGCAAATGCATTGGACGTACGAAAAGGCGATCACCTACTTGAATGATGGAGTGTTAACCAACCTAGTTATATTTGGCTGAAGACAAAGTACCAAACTGTTTATTAGGAAGAATCTTGTAGACTGCGGACATGACACCTACTTCATAAAGTAATTTACAATTGTCAGCAGGTAAATTAACAGGAAGATGCTGGCTTGTGAAATTAGAATTGTAAACCGGATCTCTGTGTACAAAAAGAAATGGCTGTCATTTTGATCCTTTCATGCTTTACTTATCAATTGTTATTATTGTCACTGACATCATTTACACTTTATTTTTTCTCTTGTTTTTAATACTATTCCTATTTCATTAACAATTATCTTTTATTAGTAGCATTAGCTTAACT